TGCTCGCATTTATTCCTGGACTATTTTAAGATTTCCAGCGATGCACATTTAGTGGGAGGAGATGTTCCCGTCGATGATGAGGTGCCTACGGTGACTTCGTAAAATTTCAAGATGATATGTCGGCTTAGTCTTTCGGAGGTGCTCATAGGGGTAGGGTGTGCGTGTGTGTGTTCATAGGGTGATGTATGCGCGTGTATGAGCGCCTGCATTTGTACTGTGTTAAAAAAATGCATTCCCCTCTCACTTAAACCACTAGTAGGAAACGGGTCTTTAGTCCCGGTTCCAGAGGACCTTTAGTCCCAGAACCAGGACTAAAGGGTCAGGACTAAAACCCACAAAACCTTTAGTCCCGGTTTGCTTACGAACCGGGACTAAAGGAGTTCCACGTAGCTGCTGTCTGGAGCTTCACCTTTAGTCCCGGTTGGTAACACCACCAACCGAGACTAAAGGATTTAAAAAAAAGTCTAAACACCCATCATAACTGCTCAAGTATGGACCACCCATTTCAAATTGTCTAACTTTCCAGGTGGTCATCCATCTTCTCACTACCTCAGCCTAAGCACGCTTAACTTCCGAGTTCTATTCCCCCTAGTTTCCAAGTCTGCACTTGTTGTTTTTCTGACAATAGTAAGCTGTCAATCCTATTAACCCTTAGGAGTTGAACTTGTGCATGAAGCACCGTTTGAGTTTGAAACTATTATTTTAAGAAACAATAATTATTTAGTAACATTAATATTTCTTGAATAAGTAGTTTGAACATAGTTTGACCACAGTTCTGTTGGGGAACGTGGTAATTTCAAAAAAAAAACTTACGATCACGCAAGATCTATCTAGGTGATGCATAGCAATGAGAGGGGAAGTGTGTCCACGTACCCTCATAGACCAAAGCGGAAGCGTTATAACAACGCGGTTGATGTAGTCTTACGTCTTCACGATTCGACCGATCCTAGCATCGAAGGTACGACACCTCCGCGATCTGCACACATTCAGCTCGGTGACGTCCCACGAACTCTAGATCCAACTGAGGTCGAGGGAGAGTTTCGTCAGCACGACGGCGTGGTGACGATGATGATGAAGTTACTAGCGCAGGGCTTCGCCTAATCACTACGACGATATGACCGAGGCGGAAATCTGTGGAGGGGGGCACCGCACACGGCTAAACACTCAACTTGTGTGTCCTAGGGCGCCCCCTGCCCCCGTATATAAAGGAGGGAGGGAGGAGGAGGTTGGCTAGGGGAGGAGGCGCGCCAAGGAGGGGCAATCCTACTCCAAGTAGCCCCCCCCCTTCCTATTCCAACAAGGAGAATGGGGAAGGAGGAGGTGGAGAGAAGGAAGGAGAGGGGGGCGCCGCCCCCTCTGGCCGGCCCTCTCTCTTCTCCACCAAGGCCCATGAGGCCAGTAGGTTCCCGGGGGGGAGGAGGGTCCGGTAACCCCCCGGTACTCCGGTTTTATCCGAAACTTATCCGGAACACTTCCGGTGTCCGAATATAGTCATCTAATATATCAATCTTTATGTCTCAACCATTTTGAGACTCCTCGTCATGTCCGTGATCACATCCGGGACTCCGAACAATTTTTAGTACATTATATCACATAAACTGATAATACCAATCGTCATCAAACGTTAAGCGTGCGGACCCTACGGGTTCGAGAACTATGTAGACATGACCAAGACACGTCTCCGGTCAATAACCAATAGCGGAATCTGGATGCTCATATTGGCTCCTACATATTCTACGAAGATCTTTATCGGTCAAACCGCATAACAACATACGTTGTTCCCTTTGTCATCGGTATGTTACTTGCCCGAGATTCAATCGTTGGTATCATCATACCTAGTTCAATCTCATTACCGGAAAGTCTCTTTACTCGTTCTGTAATACTTCATCCCGCAACTAACTCATTAGTCACGATGCTTGCAAGGCTTATAGTGATGAGTATTACCGAGAGGGCCCAGAGATACCTCTCCGAAACACGGAGTGACAAATCCTAATCTCGATCTATGCCAACCCAACAAACACCTTTGGAGACACCTGTAGAGCACCTTTATAATCACCCAATTACGTTGTGACGTTTGGTAGCACACAAAAGTGTTCCTCTGGTATTCGGGAGTTGCATAATCTCATAGTCTAAGGAACATGTATAAGTTATGAAGAGAGCAGTAGCAATGAAACTGAAACGATCACAGTGCTAAGCTAACGGATGGGTCACGTCCATCACATTATTTTCCTAATGATGTGATCCCGTTCATCAAATGACACCACATATCTATGGGTAGGAAACATAACCATCTTTGATAAACGAGCTAGTCAAGTAGAGGCATACTAGGGACACTTATGTTTTGTCTATGTATTCACACATGTACTAAGTTTCCGGTTAATACAATTATAGCATGAATAATAAACATTTATCATGAAATAAGGAAATAAATAATAACTTTATTGTTGCCTCTAGGTCATATTTCCTTCAAGTTTGACCAGAGTTTGATCAAAAATTCAAAAAACATAAATTTGAGGATTATTTTTTTTCCTTTCAAAATATGAGGATTCTAAAAATTTGCAAAACGGCCTACGGCGGTCGAAATTGGAACTGCTTTTCGTGCTGAACATTTTGATGTATTATACGTTTTTTTCCGACATCGTATGCAAAAGTTATAGCTGTTTTACTTTTTCATAACACTTTTTTGCAAAATATGTCGAAATTTATGTTTTTTTAATTTTCCTAACTAGTAGATGTAGTAACATAACTACATCTCGAAGGATTTTATAGGGGTGGTATAGATTGAAAATTGCAGAACCCCTTTTAGTTCGGGATGGTGTCCATCCAATCCTACCGTCAACTACATCTGGTAGCACCATCCTAGCCAGAGTCACAACTGAGGTTAATCAAGTCAGAGTCACGTTCTATTAAAGTGGCAAAAAAATTACTTTTTAATATAGCAAAACCAATTCTATCAACTATTATTAAAGGCTAAACAAATATTAATACAAACAGTAGCAAAATTAATATTAATTAATTATAAAAATTTATCTACTGTTGTCTAACAGAAGCATACTACAACATGTTAAATTCTACAGAAAGAACTAACTAAAAATAATTGAAAACAACAATTAAAGGACTAAAACAACTCCACAAGCAAAACAATACTGTTTTAATTAAAACCCTAATTTAAATTATTCTAAAAATAACCGAATAAATCTTACTGCAACAACAATCTAACATGTGACTAGGAGCAAAAAGAAATAAATTAAAACTATTTTTAAACTCAAATTATTCACAATCTAGGGCTTGAAGCAAATTTGAACAAATTCATACTCCCTCCGTCCGAAAATACTTGCCATCAAAATGGATAAAAGGGGATGTATCTAGAACTAATATACGTATAGATACATTCCTTTTTATTCATTTTGATGACAAGTATTTCCGGATGGAGGGAGTATTTAAATCATTCAAATTTGAAAACTAATGGCACAAACAGAAAGTAGACAAAATTTTGAATCTAATGCAAAAAGAATCACTCAAAAACATCAAATATCCTAAAAGATATAAGCAATTCAAAACAAAAATTAAAAACAAATTTCGGAACCCCTTAAGTCCCGGTTGGTGGCTTCAACCGGGACTAAAGGTTAACCTTTAGTCCCGGTTGGAGCCACCGTTAGTCCCGTTTGGAGCCACCAACCGGGACTAAAGGTTAGACCTTTAGTCCCGGTTCGAGCCACCAACCGGGACTAAAGGGGTTGAAACTGGGACTAAAGGTCCCATTTGAAACGGGACTAATGCCTGCCCGGCGCACTAGCCGCTAGAATCGGGACTAATGCTCACATTAGTCCCGGTTCGTAATGCAACCGGGACTAATGTGTAGATTGAGCTTCAACCAAAGCTCTGTTTTCTACTAGTGAACTCTCATTCCCTCTAATCAAACAGTGGACTTTTAATCTCCTCACCCCTCAACTTTTATTCCCCATCTCTAGTTTTCCCAAACCAAACACGTTGTTTGCCCACACGACCCGGCATGACACGACCTTTTTAAGATGAATATACTTATAGTACGACTCTCAAGATGAGGTTAATAAGTGAACCTTTTCAAATGTCTCCGATGAAGACCCCATAGCTGAACACATTTTTTTAATCCCTCAAAAAAAGTTGAACACATTTTTTCTAGCATCGCTTGGATTTTTGTGGTTCTGATGTGACTTGTGCAGTTATGGGTGTTGTCGAGGGTATCGAGAGCATCGATACAATCCACAACAACATTATGGTCTTAATCTCAAAGGTATCATCCTACTCTTCTCTCCCGGTCTTGCCCCGTCGGTTTATGTAATGTCACATGTAAGATTGCTTCCAAAATCATCGCAAACCATTCCAAAATTTTTTTTGGCCTGAAATCATTCCAGAATAGCGGATGACCTTTGTTCCAATATGCCTTATAACAAATAATATTATGGCAGTATATGAGTGATTTATTTTATGAGAAGGAACATGCCAAGAACCCACATGTACTGTGTGCTAACACTGGATATGATGACAAGACACAATGAGGTGGAATGGTTATATCAACAAAAGACAATGAAAAAACTTGGTTTTAGCATGCATTGCATTTCAGTTGTTATTGACGTGGTTAGCTCAATATCTTTTTTGATCATGTTCAATAGGAAAAACTCAAAGAATTCAAGACTACTGAGGGGCATCCATAGGGGGGTTATATTTCACCCTACTAGTATCTCCTTTTTACAGCAGTAATAATAAGTATGGAGGAATTCCTTTCGCGCATCTTGTCTTATAATAATAATAAAATACTGTACTCCGTAAGACACAACGATATTCCCGGTTAGATTATTCCCCTCGTGGGCCCGACAAGTCAGCGACCACGGTTTACCACGGCGCGACGCAAGGAGCCAAGCGGGCCCACGTTGCAGCCAAGACAGGGCGATCGGTCGGTCCCCCCTTTGACAAGGAAATTTCTCCGTCGGAGAGGGAGCACGGGGGAGAGACGGATAGAGATGGGAGAGGCATCGCCGGAGTCCAGCGGCGCGGTGGCCGGAGGGCCGTCTGTCCCGGGGCCGCCGAGGAAGGGGAAGTCGTGCAAGGGCTGCCTCTACTACTCGTCGGTGCTCAAATCCCGGGGATACAACCCCATCTGCGTGGGGATCCCTCGCTCCATCCCCCAAGGTCCGGAACCCTAATCCCTCCTAGCAACCCGCGAGTCCAGCATGTGTTCGTGCGATATGCGTTTTTCGTCGGAGCAAATTATCGCAGTTGGCGTCAAATTTGCTTGCTTTTTTTCTTTCTGGGTGGCGTAGTACGCTGGATCGGAAGATCTCACGGAACCGTTGATTGATTGATTGTTTGATGTGGCAGTCCCGGGCTTCGTGGTGGAAGAGCCTAGGGAGGAGGCCGCGGCGCAGGGGCATGATCTGAGACAGTTCAAATACGCCTGTGCCGGTTACTCCATGTTCGTCGACGACAGAGACGCCAAAAGCGGCGAGAATGACGCCAAGGCGCTGTTGCCGTATTGCCAGGGCCTCGAGGTTGGTTTTCATCTCATCCTTGCTGTAGGAGACTATGAAATTTTCAGTTTATGTTGCTTATGGATTATAAATGTTTCTGTTATTGCTCATAAATTCATATGTAGGCAATGAATGTTTATCGTAACACATGGTCACAGAAATTTCCAAAATTGTCAATTTAACAGATGCTGGTCATATTGTCCTGCGCTATCTTTGTATTTTGTGCTCATACAATTCTCAATAGAGTTTTGACCTTACCTAAAAAAAAGATTAGTTTTTTTTAAAGGAAAATTTCAGATTGCCAGAAAGAGAAGACATATCATTGCAGTAATGGCCTGCAGTCGTAAGCAAGTTATGCTTGCCATTTTTCGCAATTGTAAACTTTGACAAGTATCCAAATCCTTGAGTCTGATAGGTAACCGAACACTTATATGATCTGCTGGAGCCAGCGGAATTATATAAAGGAGAAAAAAAACCTAGATAACTCGATATGAAAATCGAGCAGGGGGTGTAGTAGTGATGAGTACTGGCCAGTTTGTGTTAGGTTGTGAGCATTTTGGTTGGCATAAAAGATTGGATCTGAAATCTGACTGGCGCTTCAGTGTGTTGGTATCGTCTGCTCGGCGCCTACAATCCTACTTGGATGCAAACACAACCAAAATAAATCGTAAGCTTGCAAAATTTTGGCAATTGGGTTGGCCTTGATCAGTTCGAGAGGAAGGTAGAAATGGTTCCGGTTTTTATATTAACGATGAGATTCTGAAAGACCAGAAAGACAAGTGATATGAACTGGTTTGTATCCACCCAGCTCTGCTGCTCTTTTTCTTTTGATTCTTCATGTTCCTTTTCACTTGAGCTAATTCTTTACTTGCTTTCGAGCTGACTTGGTGATTGTTAAACAAGAAGAAAATGGAAAAGTAGAAGTATGACAGTATTTATTGTTTATAGGAGATAATAATATTTTGGCTGTTAACAATGTAGAAAAGGAATGCCTTTGTCAATGCTTCTGTTGCCTGATGGACTTTCTATTAGTTAGATCAAATTGAATGATGAAAATAAGTGACATCTTCATCAAATTGTGCATGCTCACATGTAGACCTTGTCTAGTTCCTTACAAATTAGTCATCCATAGCTCCTTAACGGAATGTGGTTTCTAGTCTAGTTCTCAAAAGATTAGCAGGCACCAGATCACTCATTGCCTGCATGTATGTTACATGCCCACAAGTGCTGAATTCATTGGACTGTTGCCATCTGTTCTTTTATGCATACGAGTTGTTTTGATTTTGAACACGCAAAGCAGGCGTGAGTTGAAAAAATAAATGAAAATCAGTGAACCTTGCTGCCTAGTTTTCCCCTTTACTGTCTGTCGCAACTAGTCTTTTATCTGGCAATTATCCACTTTTAAAATATTGATTATTGTGGGCTAGTTTTCTCTGCTTCTCACCACTCACCTGTAACCATTGCCAGCCCACTAGCAGAAAGTCATCCCTGTTGCAACACAAGATCTGCTATTGTGGCCATGACCTCATCCTCCACCAACCCGTTTAGTCCATTTTGGGCTCTGAAACAAATGTTATACAAGTTGGCTGCCATCAGAATTAAGCTTCGCTGGACGACACATCATTCTCGTTCTATAGGTTGGCAGTACTTGTGATGGTTTCCCAGGATCCAATAAATCCACTTAGGTTTACGTTGGCGTGATATTGTTCTATGGAAGTCGGTGGGCTGCTTTTTAGAAGTTCGGCCTGATTTTAATGAGATTATTCCAGGTTCTACTTGACTAGGCCCTGTGCTCGTCAGAACTAACCACTACTTGTGAATTATGAATAGAGTGCATAATCGTAGCATGGAAGTGGAACTCTGTGGGTTAGTTCTGCGTAGACCAGACCATTAGACTCATCAGAGGTTCTGATGTAGATGGCAGACTATCCAGAAGTCTAATGTAGATGTCACTGCTTAGTCAGTTAAGGGTATCAGGGTGGTATCCATCCTGATTTTAATGAGATTGTTCCAGCTGAATACTCAGTCACAGAAATATGTTCACCTCATAGCATGACCTGTTAGGTTCAGGGATGCACAACTGCACATAACTTATGTTCTAGCATGCTGCGTTTGCAGATACTGAAATAGCTTTGGATTATTTTTCTTCTAACTGTCCAATTCTTCCGTGTCAACATCATCATCATACAAGGAGATTCCTATCTTGCAACAGACCTTAAATTTGATCGTGCTGTCAACTGTCATGCATCGAATGATTCATCAGTTCCATTGCACACTTAAAAGATACTTGTACAATTTTCGTAGGCGATATTAGTTTGCAGCATTAACCAAAATCTTGTGAACCTAGTTCACAGTGGGGGTAAACATCCATCTAAGGATGGCCTGACATTGGCTTGAACTAGAATGGCACCAATCTGGTGGAGGAAGGGCAAGACCACAGCAGGATTTTTGCTTCAGTAAAGGGAATACAGTTCAATCCATTTTATAGTGATGGCCTAACTTTACTCCTAAGAAATAACCTCTAACCTATGGAAACAGAATAACATAATGTAACCCAAACAAACCAACCACAGGTGAAAAAGACCTCATACGAACAGTAATTATGGCGAGTAGTACCACATGAAGAGATTGGTGAGCAAGAACAAGAAGAATGGTAGCAAACACCCTTCTCTTTGCTTGATGGTTGGATTTTATTGACCTGACTCTGGATCAATGAAGTGTTCTCAGTGAATGCCATAGATGGAAAATTTATCGGCAATAATGCATGTGATATTTAATATGTACACCATGTGCTTATTCATTTATTATGTACTGTACCCTTTTGGATTTGGTTATTGCTAAAGAAAGTGAGAAATATTCCTGCAGCTATTGGTGGACAGCAGAATGGTCGAGAGAAAATCACCCGCTGTAGAGCATGCTTCAACGCGTAATCCGAAACCAAAAGAAGGTATGTAAAGCTTCTTCTACTTTGATGTTGCATCTGCTTTGTGCTGTGTCACTGTTCAGTGGAAAACTATAAACCTGAATCCATGGCAATACTAATGGATTATGCGTTTGCGATTACACTTTAACAGTTCTAAGTTTGTACCTACTCTCTGGTTAACTGTACAAGTACCAAGTCTATATATGCTGGTCAGAGTCAATTTATGTTGGGCTGGTGGTAGTTGCCCATTCCTGCAATTAAAGTATGGATATCTCCATGTATCAATTCCTGTAAACTTGGTCGTACATCCTGAAAGATAAACACAGTAGCATTCTGCTTATGGTGAATGGTATAGTGGCTGTTCCTTTCTAGTTCGACGGAACTGTCCAAATTAGGTTTATCTGTTGCACCCAATATATTGCCATGATGATTAATCTTTTAGCATCAGTTTTCTTGACCAGTCAGTATTCTTCAGAATCCACCAGTGTGCCACCATTTGTGGTGCCACCTTTTCCGCAGAGTGGACTTGAAAACTGTTGATGATGTTATGTTTCTTGTCACAGCTGCTGCTGCTGCTGCTGCTGCCACGCAGCCTCTGGAGCAAGGACAGCGACCACAGCTGGCGAGACAGGAATTCATGGCGAGGAAAGTTACCGTTCCAGCCCTCCCCTCCCCTATCTTCACGCAATGATGATCTCCTCTGACTTTGTGAGAGTGGCTGCGTGTGGTGATGCAGGTTCAGGAGGAGCGCCGGGCTGGTGGCCTCAGGGGTCGCCAAGAACCTCAACAAAACGGGCAGCTACATCAAGCAAAACGTCGAGGACATATTTTCCCCTGACCGACGGCCACCACCCAAGCAGTAGCCGACCGCCACGCGAGGTCGTCCATTTCCGAGCCGGGAAGCCTGAGAAAACTGCCATGCAGGTGAAGGGAAAAAGGCTACCCGGCATGCAGCGGACGCTTTCCTGCGGCGTGGTACTGAGTGAATTCCTTTTGCTGTATACTTGTTTGATTTTTGCTATTTATATAGAAACAACTGGGGTCTGGTTATGTACATGAGAAACTGGATATAGGGTGTTTCTTCTCCGTTGGAGCCGGTCGTTGGGGTGGTTGCTGAATAATAATATGTCCAAGGTGTTTGTTTCAACTCAGAAGGTCCTTTTGAGAATGAGGAATTCATGCTACTGCTGTTTATCTATCCAGCACCCTACCTACATACTTGTCGTTTTTCCTTGCAAAACGTTTCTGTATTAAGGCTGGCCATAGTGGGGATAACATTGTATTTGGGACTCGCAAACATGCTTATGTGGCAGGCAATTAAAAAAGAGAGAGGGGGTTATAGTAACATAAGGCTGGTCACAATGGGCAAGAACATAATCTAGTAACTTACACACTTCCCTAGACTATGTTATTACCTCCATAGTGGATAGGAACATCTATGTAGTGTCATGCAACGATGTATTTATTAGATTATAGACTCATTGTTTCTTGGAGTGTGTGATGTTCCGGTAACTTAGCTAGTTACCACAAGCACCTCTCTCTTCATTAAATACGTGCCACATAAGCAAAGTTGTATTGGAGTGTGTGATGTTACTCCTAAGTTCCTCCCCACTGTGACCAGCCTAAGTAGATACCGTAACATAACGCATCCCGAGACAAGATGAGTCTACACCTAAATAAATGAAAGCTTGCATGACATCACAAATAGGTTACTATTCATTATGAAGGTAGTAACATAGACTAGTAATATATGCACGTTACTAGTACTCTCCACTATGGCGCGCTGCCTCGCCTGTGCGGCCGTCGCCATGCCCTGCCATCGTCTATGCGGCCGCCGGCACGCCCAAGAAGAATGCAACGGCCATCGTCGCCGAGAGGGCCAAGCACCTCACCTACGCCCGCCGTCGATGCCTTCGCCGTCCTCCTCGAGCTCCCCGCAGACGACCACGCGTACGGCCCGCGCCGTTGCCGGAGCGCGCGCCTGCCGCCGCCGCGGCCGAGGACGGCCTTTGCTGCGGCCGCCGGAAGGTGAGGGTGGACCCGGTGGTGCGGGGCGAAGGTGAGGGGCAGAAGCGATGGGTGGCGGGGTGGACACGATGGGTGGTCATTGCCGCGCCGGGGAGGGCCAGTGAACGGCGGCGGAGGACAGGGCAGGCTCGCTGGCGAGAGGAAAGTAAGGGAGGCACGGAGGAGGGAATACTCAAGGAGGAGGAGGAAAAAGTGTGGAAGATACACTGACATGTGGGCCCCACATGTCAGTTAACGGTCCAACAGACGGTCAAATAGACAGATTGTTTAGGTGCGGGCCCGACCTGTCATAAACATGTTTAAATTTTAAGCAACGGTCATTTGGAGTTTTCTGAAACAGCCGACCGCCCATTCGGTAGTTATCTGAGAAAAATTAAAAACCGGTAGTTTTTTGAAACCCTAACCTGTAAAGTAATAGTTTTATGCTATTTACTCGCTGCTACACGCACGCACGCACGCACGCACGCATCGCGATGGCCGATGGTACATGAACCTCCACACGGAGTCCCATTCTGCTGTGCTGGACGATGATGCAGAGGATCCGAGATTCCGATCGATGTTTAGATGAAGCACACCGCACACGTGGTGCACTGGTGGTCGTGGAGGCGAACGATTCAAACCTGTGTCTGTGTGCGAGCAGAGGGGCACGGGGTTTTTGATTTGAATGGACGGGGACGTGAGGTGAGGTGGAAGATCACATCACCCGCGTGTAGTGCATCAGTCTGCGCCAAGTAAATGTTCCACCTACTACCTGGCTAGCGCACCATGGCCCAGCTACTTCTCTGCCCCGCCCGCAGATCAGCTCAAAGGGTGCGCTCCTTCTCTGCCCCGCCCGTGGCTATTTTTTTTAAATAATAGTATTTTTTATTAAATTTTCAGAAATAACACACCGTTTGATATTTTTGACAAATAATACGGTATCATCTTCCTAATCGTCTTCGTGGAGGACGATTAATCACAGCTGGCTGACTGGGCAGTCGTTTGAAGGTGGGCCTCCAGTCGTCCTCCAGGAAGACGATTAGCTCCAGTCGTCCACCAAAAAAATGATTAGTTTCAGTCGTTCATCAGGAAGATGATTAGCTGACTGGACACTAATCGTCCTTCAGGAAGACGATTAGTTCCAGTCATCCTCCAGGAAGATGATGCCGTATTATTTATCAAAAGTATAAAAACGGTGTATTATTTCTGAAAGATAATTAAAAATGTATTATCTAAAAAAAAATAGTGCAACCGTGCACTTCTTAGTGGTACCAGTATTTGCACACGAATTTTGTCATAATATTGCTAGAGCGATTTTTGTCTAGCTAGGACATTGTCCAGTTTTAACCCATGGCATCAATAGAAAAATAGTACCAAAGAGCCATGGCGACCGATGTGCCTCCATGATGATCATCACTTCATCAGTGCTACTGCCGGCAATCCTGTCCATGCAAACCACGTTTGCCCGAGCGTCTGTGTTCGCCGTTTTGATCGAGCACTCCAAAGAAAAGAAAAAACTGCCGACTGGTCTTCCTCCGCACCGTGAGGCCGGCCGTGCATGATCTCCAGTTTCTAGCGGGCCAAGCATTGCAGTGGCACTGGCAGCTGCTCTGCTCCACCGCCGACCCACGCACCACGGCTTCATCAGGAAAGCATCGTAAATATAAAGGCCAGACGCCAGCAAAAGGGAGTACGTACATCACATGAGGGAGGCGTCAACGGACAACCAAGGCGGGAAAAGAAAAGGAAATCTACCACCAACGCGATGGTGGTGCTCGTACCTGAACGTACCAAAGTGAGAGAGGCGCCACACCAGAGACCAGACAGAGAAAGAGCGCCCACTGACCACAAGCCTACTATGCAGTCAACCAAGTGCTCTGGGCAGTAGTAGCAGTACACGTCGAGTACAAGTACTGCTGGGAGCAAGATGTGCGACTAGTACTCCGTTGCAAGCAAGGACGTACGGTGAACAGGCGGAGTAACAAGCAGTGCAACGAGCTTAAGAAACGGTGCAAATTAGCCACCATGCTTGCTGCGTGTTGGGCCTGGGTCACATGGCCGTTCTGGACTTCCCGCCTGTGATTGTGAGGCCGTGATATGATCTCATAAGAGCAAACTCTAAGGGCGTGTTTGGTTGCCGTGTGCTACAGTATCTGCATTGCATACACTTCTCCACCCAACCTGGTTATGCAAATGCAGTCTCAAATGCACCATCTGCATGTTGTTTGGTTGCCTGCATGGCCTCTTGTCTGCATGAACAGAACCACACTGTCTGGTGTTTGGTTGAATGCATGTTAGTGGACAAATCCAAGGCATGGTGTTTGGTTGTATGCAACGCCTAGTGTGTGGTAATCTCTTTGGCTAGCTGGTGAGGTTACCACCACACTTCGACAACACACATCATAAGCACAATAGAGTATAAATAGAGTATCAACTAGCATAATTCAGATATAAGCAGTACCACACTTCATAACAGTTCAACGCATAAACCATAAACATGTTCAAAGCAGACTCGATAAGTACGCTCGAAAGAGGTGGCCCGGCCCTACTCCTTGGCGGCGAAGGCTTCGTCGTGCTTCCCGCACTTGTTGACGACCTCAATACCATCGTCGTCGAAGATGATGACCTTGAGGGTGTCGGGTGTGAGGAGCTTGAACGTCACCATGTAGCCAATCTTGATCTGATGAACGACTGCGTAGGTGGCCCAACCCTGATCCAGGGTCACCTTGCCGTTCATCAGCTTGACCGTCACCTTCCAGGAGCAGCCGGTGTTGTTCCTGAGCTTGAACTCCGCCGGCACCGCGACGAAGTGCTTGGTGAAGTCCAAGGGCATGGGGATGCACTCAAGCTTCGGTGCAAGGATGACCTTGCAGAAGTGAGTTGGGCCATCCTCCTGATGGTAGTGGCCGTAGTTGCGGCGCTTGTTGCTGGGGGGCTCCTCCATGCCCTTGTCATCGCCACCGTCAGGCGTCTTCGGCTCTTCCTCGGCGGTGGGCGGCAGCACAACCTCGTCGGGCATTAGGTGAAGGGGCTACTTGCCCTTGTTGTCAATGGCCGGGAGCACCTTCGTGCCCATCTCATTGCTCTCCTCGATCTGCACACAATTCATGGAGTCACGCACTGCACAGAGTTCATGGCTAATTGAAGAGCTTGTAGTTAAAACGACATGACTGTCACTCTTCTCCTCCTATCCACCACCCCCTATATTTACTCACCCTTCCCACCACTACTTACCCACCCCCTCTCTTCTCTCACTGTCAACCTTCCTCCTCCCCATCGCCATGAGCTCTAGCTCCAGCTCCAACGCCAACCCCTTCCCTTGGGGTATTGGCTGGAGGGCTTTCTTCCTCGGGTGGTCGGCTGGTGACCGCACCAAGTTCGAGAACACCATGGAGGTGTGCTCGAACTTCGGCTCCATGCCGGACATGCAGAACGAATCTAATACAATGCTCATGAAGGCCACTAAAGAAGAGCTGAAGACGCTGATTCCTGACCCAGCGAAGGGCGTGATGGCAGTTGGCATCATTCACTGGGCCATGAATCAGTCCGTCTCCGACGACGCTAAACAGAGGAAGAAGTGGTGCAAGTACAAGACCTACTGGGCTCCTAATGACCACTGTGCCGCAGTGTACTGGGAGACGGCTATCGAGCCGCCGGCGGTCATCGGCGGGGAGCCTAAGGAGGAGGAAGAAGAAGCGGTGCACATGCCAGCTAGGGCGTCGGAGCCAGGCCGTCCTACCTGGCAGATCGACCTCGACTCCGCCGAGGACGACAAGGCCGACCCGCCGGCCCGCACGGCGATGAAGAAGAAGATGAAGGCCAGCGGCTCGACCAGCCGCTCCGCACGCCGGTGACG